AAAATACATTATACACATAAAAAATACATTACATACATAAAAAATACATCCCTTATATAAAAAATAATATACTAATAAAATCTATAATATATTTACAAAACGTTGACAAGTTAAAAAAAGATAAATTTAAAACATTTATTTTTGTAATCAAATAATGTTAGTTTAAAACATTTATAGCTTTGTAGATGTCGCTCCGAGAATTAAAATAATAGTTTGTTTGATAGTATATTCTTAAAAAAATTTATGGTAGAAATCTCAACAAAAACATAACAAAACTCAAATAATACAATTTTTAAAAATATTTCAACAGAATACTCTAGAAATTTCAGTTAGTATTTTTTGAACCAATAGAACTAGTTGTTCATAGATTTGGAGGGTTTTTTGTGTTTTGTTTTTTTCTGCACAATGGTGTTTGAGAACATTTGAGTTTATGTATATTTCCATGTATGTCCATAAACAAAATATTTCAAAATTTACGATAAAATAATGAACTTAAATAAGGAAACATACATAAATTTAAATATTCTCAAAACGACTAAAATATCTGGCCAGTTTTTCACAACTAAATATTATTTCCGTAGTCAGTTATCGAGTGCGATTGCACCCGCTTCCCGATCAAGCCTATATATATATACATATATATATATATGTATATATATATATATATATATATATATATATATATATATATATATATATATATATATATATATATATATATAGGCAATTCCATTTTTAACTTACGTTACACGGGCAACAACTTTATCAAACTTTTGCCTATTTAAACAGTAAATTAAAATTTTAGCTATTTTGTATGAAAGCTGTTAGTCTAAAGAATAAAATAAGCTAAAAATTTTGAGTCTAGCTGAATAAGGGTGAACTTATTACTAAAAATGCCACATAACTTACGTTACACGGAAAACTAGGTAAAAAAATAGCTTCAACTTTTAGGTCAGATTTTTGTGAATCAGTAAAGCGGTTTGTATAAGAAACTTTCACAAGATGTTAGGAATTCTATGCCAATTTAAAAAATATATAAAATTTTATCATAGGTGATTAGGTAAGGAAAAAAACTCGTTTTTTTGATACTATGTATCTAACTTACGTTACATCACTTACGTTACCTATCGAATATTATCGTGGATTTTCACTTTTATTATTTCAAGTTAGAGTTACGTAACAAAACAATTGAACTCATTCATTAAAAATAATTAACAAAGTAAATTTTAAAAAACTGGTGGCACTCTTCCTAAGTGATTTTTCATAACATTTATAAAAGTTATTAAATTGAAAACAATTTTACCACAAGACCAAGAGCAACTTTGAAAAATTATTTTAGTATTACAACTTTTTAATACTAATTTGAGTCGTTTAAATATAAAAATCTTTGGTTTGTTGAAGTTTTTACTTAAACTCTTTACATTTATGTGTATTGCCTTGTTTTCATTAGGTTGAATTTTTAAAATGCTGCAAAATATTTACATTTCAATCTTTTGAAATATTTTTGAATAAAAACTGTCATCACAGTTTAGAAGGGAGAGGTAATCAGGTATATGTGATTGTTTGTGACAGGAGGGAAGGGGTTAAAAATTGATAAATATATGACATGCTTTATGCATGACTCATAATAGCATTTACAAATGATTTGTTTTACTGGAACAAAGATAAATAAGGTTCTAACTGATTTTTTTATATTAGGAGAATAGAAAATTAATTTTTTTTTTCATATTGTCTAAATACAAATATTTAAATAAATCTTATTTTAATTTATTTATGTGTATTTATGTCAAAAAAGAAAGAATACATAAAAAAATAAAAAAGCAATAATATAAATAAGTTTAACTAACATATGTATATGTATATATATGTCAGTCTTCTCCATTAAGCCAGTGCTTTCATGCTTGCTGGCAAAAACTTTAATAAACAATGGTTTAACTATTTCATTTAGAGCTAAAATAAAAAATTTGTTTTGCCATTTTCAATTATCTCATTTGAATTAAAATAAAGCATTAGTTTGCCAATCTTAACATAATTATTTTATTTAGAATTTAAATAAATTTATTATGCCTTTTTTTTTTAATTTTGTCTAGAATTTAAATAAAATATTCCTTTTGACAGGATTTTTTTAATTTTTAAATTTAGAATTTAAATAAAACCTTAGTCTTTTCATTTTTTCTTTTCATTTTCTTTTTAATACTTATATTAAACATTTTTCGTTTTTAATTTTTGTTTTGTTTTTGTCTTAATTACTTAATCTATAACTTAAATGAAACATTCGTTTTGCCAGATTTTAAAAATTATTTTATCATAGTATTCGTTTGACTGTTATTTAAAAGTATTTTAAATAACAGTCAAACTGTTTTTAAAAGTAATTTCATTAAGTAGTTAAAAATCTCTACAAAAGTAGAAAGTTGAGAAAGTTTTATTATTTAATATAACAACACCAATATATAAAATGGTTTATCAAGAATTGAATCATTTTATATCTGCCTTGAAAACAAAATGTCAATAAATGCTGTACCAATATATTTAATTACAAAAACCAAAATATAGACCAGATATAAATAACTCTGATCAGTTATATTTGTAAACAAATAATAATAACCATAATGATAATAATAAATAAAAAACATTTTGAAAAAATGTGTCTAAGAATAAGGTAAAAGACACTTAGAGTGTCTTTTACCTTATTCTTAGACACATTTTAGTAGATGAAAAATATCATTCTTTGCAACAGTCAGTGGCGTGCTGGCCCCAGAGGCTATGCGGGCATACCTCTGAAGCGAGCAAAAATAATTATCAAAATAATTGCAAAATATGTTTAATATTACATCACACAATTTCAACGATTGTATAAAGTAATGAAACCACATCAAGGGATAAATTAACCAATGGCGACAATCAGATGAGAACTTGCTGATTTTTAATTATTAAAAAGTATTGCTCATAAAATTAAATAGTTTTTTCAATCAGAGCAGTGGTGGCGCAGTGGTTAGAGCACTTGCTTTAGAAGCAAGAGATTCAAGGCAAGCTCTGGGCATATCTCGTGTCATCAGTAAGGAAGGAGGCATGAACTTCCTAGTTAATTGTTTTTCAGTGATTGCAAGAAAAAAAAAATTAAAAAAAATATCAAAATTTCAAGTTATCATATCAGTACTGGGTGTCCACTCGGCTGGAAAAACTGAAAGAACTAGATAGGACTACTTTTGAAAAACATGCTAAAGAAATCAGAAAATGCATTTTTTGCGCATTATTGATTTAATGATGCGTAAAAAATATATTTTCCAGTTTTTCCATCATGTTTTTTAATAAATTATTTTCCATTAACACTTTAGATTTGATGCTGCTCAACAATTGTTCTAATGCTAATAAAATGAGGAAATTAGTGAGCTATAAATAAGAATTTTATTTTATTTGAAGAATTAATATTCAAAATTAAAAACTTTAAACAAAGTAATCTAACAATTTAGTCATCAGCAATTTTGGATTTTTATCGTAAATTTGTACAAGCTTTTCCGCTTTTTTTAAAAGATTATTAATTTAGCTCCATAATTCGGAAGACTTAGATTTCTTTATTTTTATAACTCTCCAACAATTTATTGCTGATTATGTGCTTTTTACACTATTGTTGAATGAATATTTAGGGATACAATTAGCATCTTTTAGTTTAAATCCATAGTAGACAGGCATAAGTTTGGGATAGACTTCATTCAACTATTCCACAGTTTCTTCTACTTGACTTCTATCCAATGTTCTTGCTAAGTGAATAAGTATTGTTACAAGAGTAGTAAACTTAGACGCAAATTTTACATCTGTATAAAATATTTGATCACATACAATTTTTTGCAATTTGCAAATCTTTACAACTTGCAAATCCAGTTCATCCTTCTGATTACTTGTTGTTGTAGTAACAAACTTAGTATTGGATGTTTGTAATTGCACCACCATTACAGTTGACTGAATAATTAACAAATAAGAAAAAAAAATAAAGCTTAAATGATCTTGCTTCTGATCATTTTGACTGGTCAGACTTATTTGATGCTGCTGATGTAGATGGTCTCGACTCTACAACTAAATCATTGTCAAATAAAAGTTAAAGTGGTTTTTTAACAAAATAATTAGTTCTTTTTTCTTACTGCTTTTAGACAAATTAAAAAGTTAAAAAATAATAAGTCACTAAATTAAAATTGTTTTAGGCATTTATATAACAGCTTAACATGTATGGAAATTGCTTGATGTTTAAAACAAGGCCTGCAAGAAATTTTCTATAAAATTCTTCAATAAAACAAGGCCTGCAAGGTGATTTTAAAGTATAAAAATTATTTTAAACAATGAAAGAAAAAAAAAAGAATCTAAATCAGGGTTTTAATAATATTTCTTGCATTTTTAAGCATTTTTCTACATTTAACTTTCATTTTAAATCTATCATTATAATTTTTTGAGCAATAATGCCAAATAATAATCAAAACCAGCTCTTTTTAAAATGCAATATAAGGGTAATCAGTTTACACTTAGTTACATGCCATTAAAAAATATAGCATTTATATACTTATGGGCCTTTAAACCATATGACATATATGGTAAAATTATGCATAAATAAGCCTTTTTAAAAAAATTCTGCATGGAAGCCAGCACGCACTGGCAACAGTGATGACAAAAATGTTTTTTTATTATTTTGCACTTTAGCACAATGTCTCAATGAAAAAGAAAATTATTTAAAGAATAAGACTGAAATACATAATAAATACAACTTTAAAAATAAAAAAAAGATCAAATTATAAGGAAAAGAATGACGCACATCTAATAAAATGCCATTATAATTGATGCTCATTTTACAATAAACTACCAATAAAAATTTCTTAAAAGATTTTAAACAGTTTTTTAATAAAATGCATTAAATATTTAACAATTTTCATAACAGGAAATCAATTATAGTAACAGGTAAACAAATTTAGCAATAGCTGAACAACTTTGGTGGGAAAAAAAAAATGAAACCCTACATTTTCAGCAGATAGCTTTAAACAAGTTGAATAATGATCTTGCAGCTGATCTTTAGTCATTCCAACCTGACACAGATTTAATGTCTTTCGCCTTTTAAATTGTACAAAAAATAAGAGTAATGAATGAAAAAAGAAATCAAAGCATAAAACTTGTTAAACGAAAAAATTAATGTTAACTGAAACAGTAGTTAGATGTTCCTATGAACATATTTAATTTAAATAATATAACATTTTTAATCCTGATAATATTTAAGACATTTGTCTAAAAGGTTAATTTAATTCATAGTTAACCAACTACCTTTCTTGATCCAAAGAACGTTTAGGTGATGATTGAAGACCACCAGGACTCAGAATTTTATTTGAAAGTAGTTTTGACTTTCGCCTAAGCATTTTTTCTTCCAAATCATCATTTTCTATCAAATCTATAGATGTCGACAGTGACGGTGAGTTAACAAGATGAGTGCGTTTGCGGGTACGATTTGGAGGTGTTGAAAATGTGTTTGGTGTTGACATTTTTATATTTATTATTATAAATCTGAAAAATAATTGCTAACTTAATAAACAATTACACAAAATAAACCTAATACATACATACATACACATATATATACATATACATATATATACATATACATATATATATATATATATATATATATATATATATATATATATATATATATATATATATATATATATATATATATATACAAAAAAAAACTTTCAAAAAAAATATGCTGCCACCCCATCAATGTGTTTATATTAAAAAAAAACAAAAAAACATTGGATTTAAAAATTTTTTGAATAAAAAATATTTTTTGGGGTCCCTAAAGACTCTTGAATATTAAACAAGTTCCTAATATTATAAACAAAAAAACCAATCATGTTGGGTTTCAAATAAAGCGAAATTACATAAAAAATTTTAAAATGGTAATTATATTATATAAAAATAAATGTTAGATTTAACAACCTAAAAATGAAGTTTATAAACTAAAAATGAAAAAAAAGTATTTTAATCAATTTTCTTTTAGACAATTTTTATTCAATAAGTTTTTATAATATAATTATCATGTTTGAAATTGTTATATAATTTCGCTTTATTTGAGACCCAACATGATACATTTTTGGAGAGCTTTTTTTTTTTGATAATATTAGGAACTCGTTAAACATTCTATGGTCTTGAGGGACCCCTAAAAAAATATTTTTTTATTTATTTCCATAATGTTTTTTTAATTTTTTAATAAAAATTGTTTACATACTTTTAATTAAAAAAAAATTGTTTACATAATAAAAAACTGTTTACATACATCGACTGACAAATAGGTAGAACATTAAAAAGGTGCTGCTTTATCAACTATTAACTGATACAAGGAATGCTTCATTGACTGACAAATAGCTAGAACATGTGAGGCATGCTATATCATCTGAAAAATAGGTAGTCTATCAATCAATGTGACATTTTCAATTTAACAACAAACAATATTACTAATTTAAAATACAGCAGTATTACAAGCTTGCATTTGATTCGAACTTAAATAAATTGTCATATCAGCTATGTAAATTGAGAAAAGTAAATTTTTTGATTACAATTGACCACCAACAAAAAAAATTTTTAAACTTTATAACTAAACATTCTAATATCACCGACAACTGTAAGCGAAAGATACTATGACTCAAAATGAGGTTTTGATTTTTCAAGAAAATGGAGACCAGATATCATTCTAATTTTAAAAAAAAATGTAAGAAAGTGCTGCTGCATCGACTGATTTATACTTGACCCAATGCAAACCCGCCAATGTAGCAGCATTAACTTGCATGTTTTACTTAAATCAGTTAATGTAGCAGCACTCTCTTACATTTCTCCTGAAATCAGTTTGATATCTGGCCTTTTTTTTTTTTGATAAATCAAACCCTCATTTTGAGTCATAGTATCTTTGGCTTACCACCGACAACCTATGTAATTTTAAAAAAATGTTTGCCAATAAGTCTTGAATATTATACTTATTAACATATGAATAAATTTTAAATAATTACGTGTTCAAATAAATTTGTTAATCTCAATAAATTTTTTCCCGCTAATGTTGTTATAATCTGTTATAAAATAACTAAAATAAAAGTAAATATATTATCTTTAAAATTCAAAACAACTATAAATAAAGTTAAAATTTTCTTCATGAAAATTTGTGCGTCTAAACACTTGGACATTTTTACTGTGTAATAAAACATCAAAGTAAAGTTTTTGTTTTTAACTGTATGAATTTTGCTATTGATGAAAGTAACAAACTATTGAAGTAAAAATAAATGCAGTTAAACACGGCTACAAATTATTTTTGCCGCCAGAACTATTATTTTATTAATACCGGTCTATAAGTTTTCACCAAACCCGAACCGAACCCGAACTCAATTTTTTAAATCAAAAACAAAATATAAGCAATGACACCGGGGCCCCAGGGGGCAATGGCCCTTTCCCCCACTTTTTTTCTAAAGGACCTTTTCCTTTATTTCTAAAATTTCTAGATGTAGAGGACTTTTTTTAGAAATTGATGATTGTGCACTTGATTGTGCATGTGATTGTCCACTTCAAAACCCGTATCGTCGGCCCTAATAAAGTTTATAAGACAAAAAAAAAATAACAATAATAATAATAATAATAATAATAATAATAATAATTAAAAAAAAAATTAAAAAATTAAAAAAAAAAAAAAATTGAAAGTTAATGATTTGAAAAATTTGTCAATACCTGTTTAGAAGCGTTGTTACACAACTTGACAACAATGTGAGATTGCTTGCCTGGTGCGTTTTCGTCGCGGATCCTTATATTCTTCGTTATCAAACCTGGGACATCAAAGAGTTCTCTCTAATGTCTGTAAGTTTAATTTATTTAACCATAAAATTGAAAAACTACAAATTTGTTTATAGTTATATAAAATCAGATTTGGAAATGACTTTGCAATGAGATTGCAAATGGCGCAAACGATTACTTCAGGGTGCAAAATGAGGAAAGGAAAAATTATTAAGAATAGAAGATTAATATAATAGTGCTGTACACTTAAAGAGTGATGAGTCCAAACTACGTAGAGTTTGTAACTTTAACAGCTGTAACACACTAACATACAAACATAATAAAAGTTAGTATTTAAAATGTTCATCCAATTTTTTTTTGAACTGGTTGATACTGACTGCGTCTATTGTTTCTTGTTCAAGATTGTTCCAGTCGTTTACTACTCTATTTGTGAAAAAATTATGTCGTTTTATATTTCCTGTATATTGCCTTCTCAGTTTACTATTGTGACCTCCAGTTTTATATCCGTTATCTAGCATTTCGGGTTTTGTGTAAAAATTTATAATATCGTACCCTTACAAATATTTGAACATTTGTATCAAATCACCCCTTTTTCTTCTGTTCTCCAACGATAGTTAATCCAACTTCTTTAACCTCTCTTCATAACTGTATCCTTTCAAAATTTTAATTCTAGAAGCTCTTTGTTGGACACACTCTAGTTTATCTTTATCATACTGACGATAAGGATTCCAGATAGGAGCTGCGTATTCCAAATGTGGACGTACTTAGGCTATAAACAAGAGTTTCATTGTTTTTTCGTCTAAATATTTAAAAGTGTGTTTAAATATTTTAAAAGTGTGTTTAAATATTAAAAAAGTGTGTCTAAATATTTAAAAGTGATCTGACCTAGCTTTTGATTTGCTTTATTTACTGCTTTATTTACATGTGTTTCCATTCAAATCATCTGAAATGTACACTCCTAAATCCTTTTCCATGCTTGTGTAGGCTAAAGCTGTATTATTCATTAAAACTTTGTGCTGGCTATTTCCTATTATCATAACTTTACATTTTTGCTGGTTGAATTTCATCAACCACTCATTCGACCATTCCATTAATAAGTCTATATCTTGTTGAAGTTCAATAACATCATTATCGTTTTTTATTGCTCTAAGGATTTTTATGTCGTTAGCAAATAGTTTACAGCTTGATTTTATTTTGTTGGAGATATCATTAATATACACTACAAATAATAGTGGTCCTAGCACTGATCCTTGTGGTACTCCACTCACGACCTCTTCCCATTCTGATTTATTATTTCCTATCACCACCCTTTGGAGTCTGTTCTTTAAAAATCTCTGGCACCAGTCAAATAGTTTTGATTTAAAACCAAGAGCATTCAATTTTAACAATAATCTTTCGTGATCAACTGAATCAAACGCTTTGGCTAAGTCCAGAAACAAATTTATTACATCCAAACCATTATCAATTGAACTTGTGATAAAATCTAGAGGTTAATAAAGAAAAAATATCAATTAGGTAAATATTAAAGAATATAAATAAAAGAAAAAATGTCATTAATATCAAATGCTCATCACCGTGTCATTAATATCAAACGCTCATCACCGCGTCATTAATATCAAATGCTCATCACCGTGAAATACAAAAACTAGTGCATCTAGACTCAGCACTGAATCAATGTTTTGAAATTATAATTTCAATCGTGCAGTTTCTAGCAGATCTGAGTTTAGTATTAAGTGGCACTGTGGATCGATTGTTTTAACCAAACAATAGAAATTTTTTGGAATTGGTAAATTGTTAAGAAAGTACGTTTTATACAAAGAAGATTATTTACGATATATAAAGTAAATAGAAAAGTCATGATCATTACTTTGGCAAAACAATTCAAAATAGGAAATTAAACTGATCAATGGTGATTTTTTTTTGAATAAAAGTAATGTTAAAAATGTTAGTCCATTGTTTTATACTGCACATATGGAACTATTCAAAAGCAAATGACTATGATGTTGCAAGTATTCAAAATTGTAGTCCTCAAACTGGTACTACCAAAGTCACTTTGGTAGTACCAGTAGAAATCAATAAATCTTATGTGAAATTATTAGTGACAAAAATGGATCAGGTCTCGCGGAAGCTCGCTTAAAAAATTTTCAAGATTAAATTTAAATTTGCAGAGCTGCAGACGCCTAGGATATGATAACGCAGCAAATATGCAAGGCTGCAATCGTAGTGTACAAAAGCTTTTATTTGAACTCAATCCAAAATTATTTAATGTACAATATGATATCACAACATCAATCTAAATCTTGGAGACATTGAGAAATCTCTAGTTGTTGCAATAGCACTTTGGAGTTTTCCATTAAATTTACCTTTTATTTAGCGCATCAACGCAGCGAATGCAGATCTTAAAGACTAATGTTCAAAATCTGATAGTAAAATCTATTGAATTATAGAATTGATAATGTGAAAGCTATTCGATTGAAAAATAGAAAACAGGCAAACGGTTCATTTATGAAGGCACAGATGAATTATTAACAGATCAAAAAAAAACTATTAAGTTGAACTTTTTAATGTTTGTTAGATCAATCAGTTATGTTGTTAACAACACGTTTTAAGCAAATGAAATTTCAATTTTGTAAAATTTGCATTAATGTAAATTTTTTTTGTATGAAAAATTTGATTTCTCCAAAATATTGGAAAAACCATGTAAATGAGTATAGAGAATTAAGATAAATTTGATTGCTTTGATTTAATTTTTACAACTTTATGCCAGCGCGGGGGATGACATCCGCAAAGCAACCCCTCTTAAGCCTTATCTCTTGATAGGCTTATTTACGTTTGGCTAGTAGTTTATTTTTTTAATTTGGGCTATTAAATTCACTAGCTAGGTTCTTCAATTAGGGCTAGGGCTCTTAAAAGGGCTAACATACAGACATGGAGCAAGCTCAATACCTATATCAAAGATTTAGAAACCTCTGATATAGGTTAAGTAGATTGTACATAATAATTATATATAAGCATTTACATAAGTAAATTGATTAGATATACTTAAAGAAAAATTTTTTATTTATATTAAAAAAAAATTTTCTATAAGAAATCTTAATAAAGTTACATTCATTATCAGTCACTATTAACTTCTAGTATACCAAATTGAGGTATAAATAGGTATAAATAGAAATACATTTAAAAGTATAAAAAAAAGTTGCGTTCTTGAAGGTTTAAAAATATCTTTAAACATTCTTTAAGCGGTATGAACAAATATAGGTTAACAACCTCTGTACTACATTATTAAAAAGAGATACAACTATGTCTGCTCAATGTCAACTGTAAGATCAACTTTCACCATGTTAGTTCTTTTCGACTGACAACCCCTTAGACCACTCAAAAATGCAGCATGTTTTGGCACATTTGTGCTACTTTCATGTGACGTCTGAGTATCAGTGTCTCTGCAAAAAAAAAAAAAAAAAAAAAAAAAAAAAAAAATTATATATATATATATATATATATATATATATATATATATATATATAACGTTATCAAGTACTAATATCGTATTATATATATATAACGTTATCAAATACTAGATCAATTATAATAGAAAATTATATTAAACATACTTAGGCAGATAAACTTGCGAAATATTATCTCTTCTGAAATGACTTAAATCTGTTTGCACTGAATGAGTTAATTTTTGACGTAAATTTGCCTTTAAAAATTTAAATTTGTAAACTATATCGTAAACAAAATGTTTTCAATATTGCAAAAGATAACTGAAATAATTTAAGAAATAAAAAATTTGCAGTATTGTAAAAATTTACCAGTTTTATAGCTTTTCTTCGCAATTCCCATTCGTTCCATTCATATGATTTAACTAAGTTTGACTTGATAGGATGAACTTCAGTTTGAGTATCAACATCACATTTAATGATTGGTTTGTCTGTTAAACTACTATCTGGAGCCTAGAAATTGTCATACCAAACAATTGTAGATTTATAATTAAAGTCTTTTTCATTACTTAACTTTTTGTCCGTCTCAAAAAGTCCGTCTCATTATAGGCCACTTATAGTAGATGTTATTAATAGTCCACTAAGTAACCAATAAGCAAGACTACAGAAAACCGCTTCAAATGCTTATATACCCAGCAAACATTCTATAGCGGAATTTCAGCGGACCTAAATAGGCACTTTGAGCAGACCGCTGTAGTTTTGCTTATCGGTTACATAGTGGACCATTAGTGGCAGCCACTAAAAGTGCCTAGCCGATGAATACCCGCTATTAACATATAAAGTTATCGGCTAGCCATTTATAACGGATGCCACTAAGTAACCGATGAGCAAAACTACAACAATAAGTAAAATATGAGCAAAACCATTTATAAAGAATGGTCCACTAAGTAAACGATGAGCAAAACTCCAATGAACCGGCAAAATATGGCTATTTAGGTCCACTAAAAATCTACTATAACAATGTTTGCTGGGATAGGTCACTTGCAAATCCATCAAAAAAGGTTTGCTGGGTAGAGACCGCAAAATAGCCTAATACAGCAAAATGCTTTGGAAGATGGAGTTTTTACCCAGACCTGATTTCCAAACACCTCCTTGCTGGTGGAAGGAGAGCTTCATTAACCCTTTTTTATAAACCTTACCTTTAAAACTTCCCAATAAAGTTCCATTAGGTTCCTTTTTCTACATTAATCCCTGTATACTCATACTTTTTTGTTTATACTAATAAAGTATACTTATATTTTTTAGTGTTGGTGGTAAAATGGTCTATAAACTCATATATATATATATATATATATATATATATATATATATATATATATATATATATATATATATATATATATATATATATATATATATATATATATATATATATATATATATATATATATATACATATATATATATACTCTTAGTGGTATCAATGTCTATATACTCCAGGTATATAGGTATAGAGGTGAAAAGAAATGAACTACATTTACTAGCCTTACTATAATTGAGTATTTTATTGTTGAAATATTTTTGTAATTTGTCACACTTACGTTTCCTAATAAAAAAAGGTTCTCCATTTCTAAGATATTTTAGGACTTTCAGATTCTGGTAAGGGGAAGGGGAGGGGAGGGGAAGAAGAAGCATCCACCTTCCCTGGATCCGTCACTGTATTCTAATTGTTAGATAAAATATACAATATTCAAAATGTATTAAAAGCATTGTTTAATCACATATAGTAGTTGTTAAAATATATACTTCACAAAATATACACTTGAAGACTATTCTTTTATACAACTTGATTTTTTAATCTATTTTATGCACTGGTAATGAGAAGAGTTTTAATGGCATCATATCATAGCATATAATCTGTAGAATAAATATTTAAAACTAAAACCTTTTAAAAACGGATTTACACAATTTACACTAGATGGCACGGATTCTATCTAGAGTAAATTGTAAAAAATGTGTAAACTTGAAAAACAAAATTTTTACTAAATTAAGAAAAATGGTAGTAGGTAAAACCGTATTACCTAGGATTGTTGCTCATTTTTTAATACACAGTCAATACAAATATTATTTTTTTGTTGATGTTGTTTATAGTTTTTGTTTTCAGTGGAATATTGAAAGAGACGTGTTTTGAAAAGATATATTAAAGTAAAGGTAGAGTCAAAAATGGCTGGTTGATTAAATACTAGGTTCTATACCCCTTATATATATATATATATATATATATATATATATATATATATATATATATATATATATATATATATATATATATATATATATATATATATATATATATATATATATATATATATATATATATATATATATATATATTTAATGTTAGCTTTAGCTAAACAAAATTATTTTCTCATAAAATTTTTTTATGAGAAAATAAACTTTTTGCATTTTACTTACATTATTAGCTTAAGTTACTTGTAAACAACAATGGGTACAAAGCACTGATTTTTGAGTTAAAACAGTTCAAAATAAGATTTTATTATTTCCAAAAAGCGCACTATATCCCAAACAAAACAACGTCACTCTTAAACATTTATCTACTGGTTTTTAAAAACTAAAAAACTTACTTGGCTAAACGTTAAGATATCAAATTTGTAGAGGTCCAAAAGAAGTATTAGTTCAGGAGACTTTTTAGCAAGACATAGTATTCCCTCGATAAACTCATCAGGCTTTATTGAAAAAGAATAAGCAGCCTCTGGTTTTGAGAAGGCATAGTACATGTTTTTATAGCATAAAATTCCATTTGTTGGGTTAGAAAGAATTAGAATGCCATAAGTATGGAGCATCCAAGGACAAAAACCCTAGTACGAAAAAACCTAGTAATACGAAATCTTAACTGCTTATGATTACTTCTTAAAAAAAAAAAAATTATAATTTTAATTAAACTTTATATTTTAAAATCAAAAACCTTAAAGTTTATAGACAGGTCGCCAAAATTCATTGTCGATTCCGGGTGGATAACTGTTATTTCTTCGTTACAAATTTTTGAAGCAATAATTTTATTGCTCTCATAGCTAGACTGCAAATAAATCAAAAATTTCCAATAAAATAATACAAATTACTATCCTTATAGAATAAACATTTATGCAAGTTAAAAAAATCCATCAATATATTTTCACTTTAGTAACTATATGAGAAACTATATGAGAAACAATTACAAAAAGTTATAAACTGATAAAGCCTTAGGTCTTACATGGTATAAATAAATATGCATGTGTGCTTTGGTGAGTTATTATTATTAATAAATATTGCAATTTATTAATAATAATAACTCACAAAAGGACACATGCATACGCATATACTTTTACACCCATATAGATATACACACAAATACACATACTTTTATATGGATGTAAATAAACACACATATATAAGTAAACTTATTTATAAGTACACTAATATATACATATATATATATATATATATATATATATATATATATATATATATATATATATATATATATATATATATATATATATATATATATATATATATACATATATATGTACTTATTTATTAGTGTACTCATAAATATATTTACTTAAATATGTGTGTTTATTTACATCCATATAAAAGTATGTGTATTTGTTTGTATATCTATATGGGTGTAAAAGTAAATTCATATGTATGTGTGCATATATATGTATGTATATATATATATACATACATATATGTATGTATATATATATATATATATACATATATATATATATATATATATATATATATATATATATATATGTATATATATATATATATACATACCTATATATATACGCATACATATATATAAATACATATATATATATACATATACATATATAAACACATATATATATAAACATCACGGCCTGCTAGAAATATTTCTAGAAGGCCATGATATAGATGCATACATATATATATACACATACATATGTATATATATATATATATATATATATATATATATATATATATACACATATATACATATATACATATATATATATATATATATATATATATATATATATATATATATATATATATATATATATATATATATATATATATATATATATATATATATATACACATATAAATACACCCTCTTGTTTATATACGCATAAATATGTGCATATATGGGACAGAAGAATAAGGAGTAGATAAGAAAATATAGATGAATTGGTTTATAAATAAATAAAAGCTAAAAAAGAATACCAGTCAAGATTAAATGAAAATATAATGATAATGATGAGTTAGAACTTTATTGAGTGTTTTTATGGAGGATAAATATTTTGATATTGGCAATGAAGGTTATCTAGCAATGTTTGAAAGATTCATTTTAATTTAAAGCAGAAGAAAGTTCGAATAGTAAATTGATTGGTATTAAGTAGATTGAATACCATTTTTTTATTTATTATTTGAGCTAGATTATAGCAAGATACTGATCAAAGTTTGTAGTTATGAATATCACCTGTGATATTAAAATAGTTATTGAAAGCAATAGACATTATTATGAATGATGTCCTATACAAAGCCACAGTTTAATGAGTTCACCTTCAGTTCATGTTTGCAAGTTTTAATCCAGATTTATTGTATATTTTTTCAAAGTTCATGTTTAACAAACTATACAAAAAGTCTGGATTAAAACTGTTGGCTAGATGCAAATTATTTGTATAGATTTATTTTGAATTATTATTAGGCTTTTTATTTGAGTAGATAAATTTTGACAGCATATTTGAAAACCACACTTTAGGTGGAAATTAAATGTGTCATGCTAAATAAATTTTATCTTATCTACAGTATTTATTGACTGCCTGATCTGAAATTAAGACTAATTTAGACTTTTTTGGTATTTAAGGAAATTTTATTTGATCATAACCATTGAACAAAATATGTTAAATCATAATTACGATTTTTATTAAGTTTTTAAGAGATTTATTTACAATAAGAAAATTGGTATTATCAGCAAAATGATATGTTTTGGAAAATTTTACACATGTTTAGATCATTTATAAAAATAAGGAAAAGGAGAAGAGCCAAAACTGAACTCTGTGGAACACTAATAGATTTAAACTTAGTTTTGGATGAACTGCATTTGTTCAAGAACTTCGGGTATTCTCCCAATTATATCAATAAGTGTTTGATTAGTACAGTACTTTTCAAAAAAAAAAAAATTAAAGGCTATAAAGACTATAAGAATGATTTAAAAGCTTTTATCTTAATCACAAACTCATTTAATGGGTTTGTAATTAGAGATTTATAACTTATAATTTGCTAATTTATAGTTAAACTTTTGATAGTGTTGTGATTGTTTAGCTCTATAGAAATAGTTATTTTTGTTCATATTAATATGTTTTTAAGATTGTTAAAACTTTTATTAAAGTATTTTGAGAATTTTTATTTTATTGAATACCTCAATAAGTTGCTTCTTTGATTCTGATAATATTTGAACTTTTGAAAATATTCTTTTTTTAAATTCTGAATTTTACATTTTATAATTTTTTTTTGAAATTTATTTTGAACATTTACTTAGCAAACATGCTATAGCAGAATTTCAGTGGACCTATAAAAGCATTTTGAGTTGACCGCTGTAGTTTTGCCCATTGGTTACTTAGTGGACCACTAGTGGCAGCCGCCAAAAGTGGTCGCCAATAATTAACCACCATTAAAATGTCGGAAAATTATTGGCTTGCTGTTTATAGCGGCAGCCACTAATGGTCCACTCAGTAACTATGACCAAAACTCCAATAAACGCTAAAAAATGCCTATATAAGTCCACTGCAAATCCACTAAAACAATGCAATATATTTTTGTGGTTGTTTTTTGTTAGGCAAAGCTATACAGTGCATAAGATGGTCAACAAGGAATACTGTAAAATTGCCAAACATAAAGTTAGAGTCATAAAAGTTTGAAAATATATTGTCTATTAGTATTTTGGATTGAGGTGTTGTTCTAATTGGGTAAGTAATAAATGAGAATAGAGAAAAAGGGCATATGAAATCAAGGTTAGAGACATCATAACAAGAGTCATAGCTCAAAAGATTAATATTAAAGTCTCCTTAGATCAATACATTTTTTATTTTCTATGTAAAGTTTACATGAACTGATTACCAAATTAATATGTGCACATACAAGAGTAAAGGTAAACACATCCTATGATATTTTTTTCGGTCAGCAATAAAATTTCAATAAAAGTTGAAAATTGTATTTTTAGAAATTGAAGATCAGATCTTAACTTGTGCATTAAGTCTGATTTTACATATAGAAGTGTTGGAATAAAATGCAGTATGTTCAAAGATGCAGCCACTTAAAGAAACATCAGTTCTAAGCACTTTTTTTTCCAGTTTATTCTCCAAAAAGTCCTACAGTCTTACCACAGAGCATCACAGAATAGCATTTAACCAGGAAGTTCACACCCCCTTCCTTACCAATGATGTATGTATAGCCAGACCCAGCTTTGAACCATGAACCTCTAGTTCTGATTTCAGAACTATAACCACTAAACCACAGCTGCTTATTTTGTTTTTGATTATTTGATTTTGATTTGAGTCTCAGATATTGCAACAATATTTAGTTTGTTTCTCATAAAGATTAGCATAATCTAAGGTCATAAATATAAAATGTTAAAGATGATATTATTATTAATATACAGCATGTATATAGCAATATACAGTCTGAAAAGATTTATAAAATGTATACTGTTATGTAAGTGTATAAAGTATATACTGTATATAATGTGTAATGTAGGTTTATACAAAGTTAAAAGATTTATACAGTGTTAAAAATTTTATATAGTGTAAGAACATTTACAGTATGGTTTATGAAAGTAGGTTTATGAAATATTTATGAAGGTTGCAGGTTAATGGAAAGTAAGAAATATACATCAAAAGAATGTTTACACTATGTAAAAAAATTTTATAGATTAAAAAAGTTTATATATCATAAAAAAATGTATATAGTGTCAAAAGGTTTATAAAGTAAGAAGATTTATACAATATAAAAATGTTTTTAGAGAAAGAAGGACTTGCAGGATACTAATTAAAGACAAAACAAAAAAATACTGAGACAAAGGATCAAGAATAACCATTTTCATTCTATCTTCATCAGTAATTGGATTGCTGGAAATGTATGTCTTTAAAACATCATCTGGAAACATTTCTAAATGAGTCTAAGAATAACAGAAACATAATAAATAAAACATAAACAAACCTATAATAGCAAATAGTTTAAATAACTAATAACACTCACATTAGCAAATTGTTTCAGATTTAAAACTATATTTGAAAGTAATCTGATAAAGGATATTGTATTTTGAAGTTCTTGCCATACTTGTGCCAGTTCTATGAACAAAGGATAGACCTGGGAAGTTGGCACAGCAGTTTTTGAGGCAACAGTATCTTTCAGTGATTCAATCATCTGATCATATTTCTGTAATTTAACTTGAACAATTCCTTGACAAACATGAACATCATGCTTAAATCAAAAACAAACAATAATGAACAAATGTTGCATAAACAGATAGTAATTGATCTTAAAAGTATGTTTAAACCAAGTTTTAAGTTAACAATTCAATGGCTTTACCTGCTGCCATTATATCATATAAAATTGTTTTACAAGACTTTTACAGCCTCAGAGAATAGTAATTTGTAATAATCAAAGTTAGGGTTAAATAAGTATTTGCAATTGTATTTGGTAATATCAGGCTAAATTGTAATATTTGTAAAAAAATTTTTAAATGTTTGTATTTTATTGAAACCTATAGTTTTATAAATTAATTTGACTAGCATTTTACTTTTTCAGGAGAAACAAGAGATTCATAATTTTCATTGTAACAAATAATCTTTTACATTTTTAACACTAAAGTAATTTTAAAATTTGTTTAAAGTGATACTTTTTAAAACACTTGTAACTGTTAAAAAACTTACATTTTTTAATAGTTTATCAAATAGTTTTATTAATTGTTCTTCAATATAGTAGGTGAATAAAAAAAAGCAATTGCTTTTACTTAGTAAGTGGTCAGCTTTACGTAAATAAAAACTTCAAAAATTGTGGTCAAACTTTTATTCACCTAAAGCTGAACAATTACTCAGCGTTTTTGGAGTAAATTGCTTAGCTTTAAATGAATAAAAATTTGAGAGAGTTTTCTAAAATTTTTATTCATGTAGAGCTGAATAATTACTCCAAAAACCGTGAGTAAAAGCAATTGCTTTTTTTTATTCAATTACTTCAAGTTAAAAATAAAAAATAAAAAAACAATTTAAAAAAATTATTCAAAGAAACATTTTTTTTTGTAAAATAACAATAATAAGTAATACAGTAACAATATAAGTAATAGAGAGTTTTTTTGTTTTAATTATTGAAATAGAAATATTTTCAAGATATGAACTAATTTCTTCAAATTTTACCTTAAAAATAAATAAAAATGTATTATTTAATGGATTGAATAAAAATTGGCTATTTAAGTTTTAAATAATAAATAAATTTAATTAAAGTTGATCGTTAGTTTTTAAAAAATTAAAAATAAATAAATTGAAAATATTTGTATTTTTCTGAACCTAAAGTACAAATATTTGTTGTTTCATTTGTGTTTGGAAAACATTAATTACATGCATTTGTAAATGAATTTGTATTTAAGAATCTAGAATTAATGTATTTCTATTTGACCTCAACCCTTGCAATAGTGCAAAATCTTGAGATATTAGTTTTAAGTACAACTTTGTAAACTTTACAGTTTAACAATTAACTTTACAGTTTGTAGGAATTTTCAGGAAAAATTCAAATAATGTTAACCTTTAAATCTTCTAAATATGATAAGGTCTAAAAAATATGATAAGGTCTAAAAAATATGATAAGGTCTAAAAAATATTTGTATTTTAACTTTAAATCGTTATCAAATATTTTAACCTCAATACTTTTGTGGACCACTACTTATTTATGTTTTACTGGATAAAAACTGCAACAGGAATGACAATGACATATCAATTGATGTCACTTTGTTTATATATATTTTTTTTTTTTTTTTTTTTTTTGTTTATGCGACACAATGATCGCAAAAAGTGACCAACGGAGCCGTCCAGTTACGTAGACCTGGGAGATGTGAAAATAAAAACAGATTGAAGATGATGTCATTTAGGTAAAAAAACATAAATTAATGCAAAGACTATTTAGTTGGAAGAGTAAAAGTAAGCAACTCAGGAAAAGGGGAATAAAAACTCACACTCTAGTCGTCTTTTAACAAATGATGAAATAATGATCTATGAGTAAACAAGTCAATAAAAATCCGCTGGTTTATAATGGTATTCATAACTAAAATAATCGCACCATACAAATGTCTAATAAATGTGGTACTATATATGTTCTAAACTCTAGATAAAAAATTGATAACTGATAATCACCTGTGTAACATAAAAAATATATAAATGTCGTAAATGTAACAAATTCATAATAAAAAGCTCATTAAGCGCAAAAATACATGGGTTTAAGAGGTAAAAAAATGTTGGTGCCATAATAACCAATTAGAATTAAGTAGTGGATAAATGGTGATCCCCCTCCTCAGGAATGCACTGCGATCACCAATGACGTTTCGGAGAGCCCGAGACCTGCACTAACGCCACTCGTCAGGGGCGTGTCCTTGCAACAGATCTCACCGCCTGCACTCTACGTCATGCTAGTCAATATTGCAATATAATAGGACTACACTACAAAAGCCAAAAAACCAATCCCTATCCCAGTTTTTGAAAACAGCTCCAACATTCTTAGAGATCTCGTGAGGGTGGTGAAGAATGCGCGTGGTACAGCTGTAAGTATGTGTGTAAATACACGCACTCACAATATAAAAAAAAAAAAAAATAAACACATATCCCTCATACATAGATAGATACATACATAGATAAATAGATACATACATACATACATACATACATACATACATACATACATACATACATACACATGAACATATCTATACAAAATAGTGACAATAGAGCATATAGAATAGTGACAATGACAACAAAATAAATAATAAGACGCAGATAGCACGTAATACTACAAAGTGACTTACCCATTTTTAATAAAGTAATGCCTTATATAAATCTGTTTATATATATATATATATATATATATATATATATATATATATATATATATATATATATATATGTATATATATATATATATATGTATATTCACAATCCAGGAAATCACGACTCGTAACGATTTAAACTAGGATAAAAATAGTATGTGGTAAAGGTATACAAATGTGGTGTGGAGTTTAGTAAGACAATTTGTTCAGAGAATATAAATCTCACCTGATAGATGGAGATAATTCCTAACTGAAAATAGTATTAGATAATAATAAATAAATAAATTGAAACTCAAGATAGCCAGCTAACACACAATATAATTAGTGGATACACCAGAAATGAATAATAATTTAATATGTAAAATACTATATGAGAGTGGACCAATACAGGTCATAAACGCGTAATCAATCAAAGAGTATCTAGCGGACTTAAAAAATCGAGTTGAAAAACAAAGATTGTTTACATAATAACCATAAGAACGCTATTGAAGACTGTATAGTGCAAAACTAAAACAAACTGGCTTATCAACGTCAGATAAATTTTCTTAGGATCAAAAAAATCTAACAGTATGGTAGTCGAATACAAAAAGTACCGAAATACATAGTATAAGCTATTAGAGTGACTAAAAGGTAATAGAAAAAAAAAAAAAAAAAAAAAAAAAATTAAAAATTAAAAGGAAGTAAGTAAAGTGGCTAATCTACCACCTAAAGGATGGTAAAAGTGATAAGCAGATGGATCTGTCTTGTAAAGAACGCATGCTAAACTTAATTTATTTTTGTCTTGTTTTGGGGCGTACCATATGTAAAAAGTGTATAGCAAAGTTTGATCGTTGTAGTCCTTGTGTAGTTAGTATGTATTATGTAAGATATAAAATGCATTCATTGTGATATTTTATTTTTATTCTAAATAAAATATGGATAAATCATTTTGTTTATCCTCAAGGTTTTTCCCTTCACATGGACAAGGGTCCATGTTTAAATACCTCATAGAATTGAGATAAATGTCAAAATAAAACCATCTATGTGAGTGGTTTTCAATGTTTCTAGCTAGCCACAGCAGTTGGTATATTCTTTTTTAATATTTTGCGCGGTTTTTTCTAAAGCCGAGAATAAGGAATTTGAAAATTAAGTATGGAGAGCATCCGTTACCAATGAAAAAAAGTGTCAATTTGAATGTTTCGGTGTCAGTTATAGTTATGTTCCAGAATATTATTTGTATGGATAGTGGCCAGGTATTCATAGGGTGGAAGCATATTCCATTCATTTCTTTGTAAACGATGTATCATTCCCTATCAAGACTTGCGTTAGATAATGCGTTCGCGTCCTCCGTGGCTTGGCGAAGGAATATCTCTATAGCATGTTCATCCTAAAATAGCAGTTAAGTGTGTAAATCATTTGTTTAGTATCCTCGTGTAAATATGTCTAAGCATTTTGTGTAAGGGGTATAAACAAAAGCCCTCTAGTAATTTTCTGGTGTATTTATAAGCGAATTATAAGCGTCAAACGAATAATAATATAACAATTTGGCGTATTGATAGATCATGTAATAAGCTAAAAAACATAAACAACATAGGCGGTATATTTTATGTGTAAAATAATTGAAATACAAAATTGTAACATGCGGGTAGGGGTAGAAGTACGTCCTACCAGCTGATAACGAACTAGAGCAAACAGTGGATGTTCAGTTATTGTGATTGGCAGTGTATTTAGTGCGGATAAGTCTATCTCTGAGGGAAAGTGTGTTAGTGTGTGTGAGGGTGGGTACCGGTGGAAATAGTGTACAGAGTTCTGGGTCATTGTGGATAAGGTGCCAGTTGTGTAATATCGCGTTGATGATACGTATACCTTGTTCATTGTAAGGTGTGACTATGGGGAAGATGTGGGTGTCATCGGCTTCTTTGTTTTTGTGGATAAGATCTTTCTGTGTGTGTAATAGGGCTTTAGTGATGTTCCTGTTAATAATATCAAGATGGTACCCCTTAAGAACCAATTGGCGCGCTAATGTGCGGAGCTCCTTATATAGGTGGTGGGAGTCAGATATAAGCCTATTGTATCTGATCGCTTGGCTGTGAATGAGACCTGATGTGATATGATGTGGGTGGTATGAACTGAAATGTAGAAGGCTCATTGTGTCGGTGGGTTTACGGTGAATTGTGCTCTGTATTTTATCTAGATGGTTCTTGCAGAGAGTTAGGTCCATAAAGTCAATGGAAATATCTGAGTGGTTAAAAGTAAATTTAATGGTGGGGTGCAGGTTGTTCATAAATGTTATAACATGTTCGAGATCTTCTATAGTGCCTGTGAATATGAAAAAAATGTCATTGATGAATCTTTTGTAGAACGTGATGCTGTCTTTTAATTGTCCAGTGACGACTTCGTCTAATGTGCCCATGAATATGTTAGCGTATGGTGGTGCCATGCGTGTACCCATCGATGTCCCTGTCATCTGTAAATAGTTGCGGTCGTCAAACTGGAACGTCGTGTTTGTCAGAATGGTGTCAATCATAATCTGTATATACGCTACAGGTGGTGAATTGGGTGGTCTTAGGTCATGTGGTATTTTATTAAAAAGTAGTTTGATGGCTTCTATACTATCCTTATGTTAGTGTACAGGGAGGTAACGTCAGCGGTGACGAAGATGTATTTTTGAGGCGGTAGTGGTTGATTTTGGAGCATGTGAAGAAATTGTGTGGAGTCTCTAAAGTATGATGGAAGTGTTTCGGCTAGTGGTTGTATGAACTTAGTCACAAAATATGAGAGGTGATCTGTGGGACCATTGCAAGCAGATACAATAGGTCGGAGAGGAATTCCAGTTTTGTGTATTTTGGGGAGTCCATAGAACAGGGGAGGGCGACAAGGATTGTTTGGACATATGTAATTTGCAGTCTTTTCGTCAATCACTCCTTTGAATAAGATGTAATCAATTGTCGATACAATGTTCCGTGCCATTTCTATGGTGGGGTCGTACATTTCTATAGTAGGAGTTTATATGTGGTATCATCTGCTAGCATGGTGTTAATTTTCTCTTCATAGTCTCTCCTGTTTAAGATGCAGATGCTACCACCTTTGTCAGCTTGCTTGATGATGATATTGTTATTATTTTTCAATGTTAAGATTGCTTCTTTCATGTTTTTCGTTAGGTTGGGGTGTGCTATGTTCATTCTCTCATTTAGTACTGTGTCTGTTTCACTCTTTATCCTTTCAAAGAAAAGATTTAAATTTGCATTGTTGGATGCAGGAGGGTTCCAAACCGTGTCAAGTTTCCTCTTCATTGGTGTTTGTCGGGGTAGTCCTCCATTGTCCTTAAAATGAACTCTCAGTAGCATATTTCTTTTTAATTTTGATATTGCATCTTTAAACGTCTTTTCCGGAACGTATTGGTCGTTTTGAATAAATCCCAACCCTCTGCTTAATATTTGCCTCTCCGCTTCAGTGAGGTCGTAGTCCAATTTGTTCGTAATCATTCGATTAATCATTTCCGCGGTGGCTCTTGTTTTCTCCACCCTAATCTTATAGTGAAACGATCCTCGGATGTTATGCATATCAAACAAATCTTTCATTGTAATCAGAGTTAATGTCCTTGGTTCATCAGTTGGTGTGAAGATTGATCCGTTGTTCTAGAAAGTTATGGAGAAAGTCATTTAGCGTTACAGGTGGTAAGCTATGGGTGGTTCATCAGTTCAGTGTGTCTATAGGTATATGTATACCCGTAATTAGGTGAGTAGAGAGACAGCCCGCTACTTAGGAATTTAAAAATAACAAGCTTTATTATAACCCATAATAATGTGTGTATAAAAGTAATCTGTGTTACGTCATTAAATATATATGTTATGAAATGTGTGTTATAAAATGTATAGTTGTAATAAAATGAATCGATGCATTCAAGAATTAAAAATTGTGTAATAAATTAAATGTATACATCCGACATATCCTCGCATGGAACCCGAACCGTAGACACCGCAGGTTGCGCACAAACAACTAAACTATAACAACTTGTATATTATGGACAAAATAACATATATAAACTAAAATAAAACAAGTTTAAAAAAAAAAAAAAAAAAAAAAAAATAATATTAATTTAAAATCTAAATTAAAAAACTAAAAAAGTAAATAAAAAGTATAATAGGTGGTGAGGTATGCCACTAAAAAATGGAGATTGAGACTACAGATGTAAGCATGGTGAAGACTACAGATGTAGCATGGTGAATCGACTGGTGATGTCTAGTCGTATGGTCAAATCTAAATGGATAATCGCTCACCCATGTAACACTCTCTCTTGGGTCATTCAAAAGAAAATAATCAAAAAAAGAACAAATATTTGATATACTGATTTTGAAGACCGTTGATGTCTACAGGTGTGATGGTGTAGTGCATTAGTATGTACCGTTTGGTCGTCTAGTATGGTCTCATTATGTCTTTGTTCACATTAAAATCGGGTGAATATAAAGCTAAACACACTCACTCCTTGCGCTTATGGGCTAGTACATCAGAGCCAGACGTGAGAACTACAGAATGGATTTCAATTGATCGAATGCACACATTAGTCACCGTAGGCCACAAGCCATCACTCTTAGCCAAAAGAGCTACTGCCCCGTGCTGGTGTGGAATGATGTGCTATGGAGTGAGATTTCAGATCCGAGCACATAGTCAGCGAGCGCTGATCCGACGTGCATTGTGGAGCTTCCGACTGAACGTGTGCGCGAGTGTCAGCGTAGTCATTAGGTTATTGAGCGCCATAACTTTAAATCGTTATCAAATATTTTAACATCAATACTTTTGTGGACCACTACTTATTTATGTTTTACTGGATAAAAACTGCAACAGGAATGACAATGACATATCAATTGATGTCACTTTGTTTATATTTTTAGAGATACCAGCCAAATTTTTAAAATGTGCCAAAATATTAAAAATATCATCTTTTACTTGGTATTTTACCAAAACAATGACCAAAAAAGTAACTTTTTTAGTTTTTAAAGTTTAGTGTTTTGAAATTTTGAGAAGAAAAAAGCCCAAACCTAATCATCAATAAGTTAAAGAAAAAGTTGTTTTTTTAAGAACCACAATACATATATGATCTATTAAGAGCAACCTTAATCCATAATTTGTAAAAAGCCAACTGAATAAAAATAAATTTTTTATTTAAGAAAACTTGTTCCTTAAATACCTTCCCACACAGATTCACTGAACTTTTGTATATAAAAAGAAGTTTTATTAAATTTGCACTAATTGATGAAAAAAATAAATTCTTTAGAAATGTTTTTAAAACAAAGCAAAAAAAAATTATGATATTTAATTTTTTTTTCAATTTGATGATAGAACAGTCATTAAACAGTTTTTATTTTATCTTTAATAGTTTTGTCACTTTTATATTTATTTACTTAAATTATATTTTTATTTACTTAAATTATTTTTTTTAATTTTTTAAAATGATTAAAACTTTTAAACATAAATAAGTCATTTCAGATATAGTTAGACATATCGCATCAGCAAACTGAAAATTAAAAAAAAAACTTTCTAATGAAGATATGAATAATGACGATAATGAAGGTATCAAGCAAGTAGGTATCAAGCAGTAATGTAGAACTTTTTCTTGGGGATTTTTTTTAAGAACATTTTTTCTAATGACATCTTTAGAGCTAACTCAAAGATCTACCAAAAACAACAAACTTTGAACTAGGTATAAACAATTTAAAAACTAAATTTTAAAACCTGTAAGATATTCAAAAAATGTTCATGCTGCCGTGTATTAAAATGGGCTTCCTTTAATTTCAACCAATCCAAAGTTGCTGGATATTTTCTGGTTATTGCAGCACTTTCAAGCACATCTAAATACAGAAAAACAGAAAACATCTTAAAACTTCCAATTAATATATTTTTTTACTTTTTTTAAGTATTCCTAAATAAAATTCTATTCTAAAATAAAACATCCTAGATTAATGTTTTTAATTTATATTAAATAATGAAATTTTGCACCACCTTATGTAATGCCCATTTGACAAATCTAGTTATAAAATAGTTACATATACAAATTAGAGTTTCTGGTTCAAATATATTTGTAACCGATATTTGCGAATAATTGCTCAAAATTCACTATTCGTTATTTGTGAATTGTTGTCAATTATTTGCAAATAACTTTTTTTTTTCTCTCGATTTTTTGTGAAAACTAACTGGTTCCACCCCATTATGCATAATTCCTGTTATGCATAATTCCTGTCAGGAATTATGCATAACAGGAATTATGCATAATGGGAAGACACCAATTAATTTTTTAAGAAAAAAAAAACAACTAAATTTTTTTCAAAATATTGTTTATTTACTTAAAAAATAAGATTTTAGGAATACTAATGCATTCAAAGATTTGTCTGATAATCTAGGTCTTATTTTTTACAAAAATTAGAGGATAACAAAAAAATTCTTTCCAATTGAGTAGAGGTTGGACGGATTGTTTTTAATGAATTTTGTAACAATCCGATGTTTTCCGTTTTTTTCCCTGTTAATTTGAATAAATTAAACTCTTGTCTAAGTTTATCAAAACCAGTTGAACTTTGTTTTTCTTTGGTTGCTTTTGCGATAGATGAATTCAATTCATCTAAAAGACTGGCAAATTCATTTTCTGGGGATGTAGTTTCTATAACTTCATTACTTTAGTTGCCATCATCATTGTTTTCAAGAGGATATAAGCGATTTAAAAGTTCAATAGCACCATCCACCATTTGACATGATTGTGTGGATGGGGGATGGGGGCCTATGTAAATTGCATCAACTTAATCAAATCATCATTGCGTTATTCATTAATTCTGATTTTCACTCTTTCGAGAAATTGTTCTGATAAATCAGTTCCAATATCTGACAATTTTTTGTACAAAAAAATAATAGCGCCTTCAGCTGTAAGTAAGTATGCATCTGAGCGGCTTACGTTTTAACAGTTTTATTGGTTTTAATACTTCCAAAAGATTAGTGTAAAAATCAAAATCTAAGCTATCGTACAGACAAATACTATCTAAATCTTCAAGTGCATTTTTTATACTATTTTGAAGTAATAATGCGCGCTCTAACATTGTATCAATGGAATTCCAACGCGTTTTTACATCTAGTAACAATTCCAACGGTTTTTTATGTTGTTCGAGTACGTGTTGTTGTAGTACATTGTTTTTAATAGTCGATTTTTTAAGTATTTAACTACTTTACATAGAGGTTCCAGCTTTAATTTCATTAAAGATGACAAATTAAGTAATGATGACTGGTTATCAATAGCCATATTATAATTAGAATCATCATTTTCATCATCAGTAGAATCTGGAGATGACTTTTGGTTATCAACAACCTCCAAGTTTTCAGTCATAACGTCAATTACAGACAAAAGCAATACGTGATTATAACACAGTTGGGTGATTGTAGGTGATTGCCTAATTTTACCATAACAGCGATGCCATCCATTGTGCAAGCCACAATATCAGTATCAAAATTGATATCAAACGATCTTAGATGTTCACGAACTATCATTTGAAATGTTTTTGCATCTGCACGACAAGGAATGCGAACCAAACCAAGATTAAAAAAATCTCCATCATGTGTATGAATATTTATATTCAAATATTTTCTCATTTCTACGCTAGTCCATTTGTCCATCGTCAAACTGAACTTTTCATTGTTCGCAAGCATACTTTTCAATTTTTGCTTCAACTCTTCTTTAGTTGCTTTGTAAAAATTATGAACTAATGTCATTACATTGGAAGGATTTTTTGGCAACACTTTTCCTGATTCACCAATTTTCTGACGTATGAAATCTGATTTATTTATTGTATTAATTGAAAATCCATCTTTAGCTGCTAGTTTTGCAACAATCTTTTCTAAAGATTCTTTTTTGATAAAATCTTGAAGAGTTTTTTTATGTTTTTTTGCTTGAGGTGGTTGACTTTCTGACTCCTGCAAATCCAAATCAATTTTGTGTTTCAGAAACAAGTGATTTTTCATGCTGCTTGTTCCTCTTCCTGTATACGACAATTTTATATTACATTCCTTGCATACAGTTTTTGTTTTGTCATTTGGATCTAATGTAAAGTGTTTTCATACCTTTGATTTGGTTTTACTTGAATTCATTTTTATACTAAAAAAATGCACAAGTTTTAGCAAAATAAAATATTTTTTTATTACATTGCAATCAACTCAAATTAAAAATTTAATCGAAAAATTTACGTGAAGTGAAATCATAAAATTTGGGTATGCATGGTTCTACTGTGAAGCAATGTGTATTTATATACAATGATACAACGTGAAAAGACATAAATTCGATTTTGTACAAGAAATTTTTAACAATTAAATTTGAATTACGTAAATACTCAAATATTTTACATTTTTTTTAATAATATGATTGAATTTTGATTCTAGAACAATAATTACGTAATTACAACTTACAATTTTCATAATTCTAACAGGAATTCTAATAAATAACTTTTTTCTTATTAATCCTCTGTATTTTCTAAGAGAATATATAACCGTAAATAACCGTTAACCGTAGGCTTCATTTGCTGGGCATGTATGTGTACTAAAGTATTCCCGCTAAATTTTGAACTCAAAAATTTTATCCATTTGTTATTCCCAACTATAAGTTTTATTTAATTTATAATACGAAAACACGAGTAATAGAAAAGTTTTTGAAATTAAACAAAATTAAAAAAAAACTACAAAAACGAAACTATTTAAATATTATTTGTTATTTGCGAATAGTAAGGTTCTACTAACCGATATTTCCAAATAGTAAAAAGCTCGAATAATCAGAAACCCTAATACAAATGTAACTATTTTATAAAAGTGTAACCACTGTGCAGCATTGTTTCAAAAATCCAGAATAAAAAATGTATCAGCAAAGATTAGATACCTGCTAATTATAAAACAACTAGACAAAACTAGGACATATAAAGAAGGTGGGGTATAAAGAAAGTAGTATAAACTAATTAAACATTATTTAAACAGAAACCAAATATATATCCATTTTGCACTCATGTTGTAACAATGTCTAGCACCACATGACTCAAATAACTCAACATAAATTATTTATTTTTAATTAAAAATAATTTAAAAAAACACATGCACAAAGTCATTGTGATTTGAACTAAAAGTAATAAGAATACAATTAAATTTTATTTATAAAGATATATCAGGTAACCAATAAAGTTTGTGCGGTTTTTCGTAATTCCTATTTACTAACAAAAGTATTATAAGATAATGGTTGTGGTAGGGAGATAATTTTGTTTATGAATTGAAACTTGTTTCAAGGAAAATTGATCAGTGTGTTTCATAAGTTTCATAAGAAAACCTTGAAGATAAACCAAGATCTGGAAGACCATCCATCATCAACAACGAGGATATCAAGCTGGCAATCGAGCAGGACTCCAGCCAAACATGTCAGGACCTTGCCTTAAGATTTAATGTGAGTGATAAAACTATTCGTTTACATTTGCATTAACTTGGAAAACGTTGGAAGTTGAGCAAATGGGTACCTTATGAGTTGAGTGAAACAAACAAGCTACAGCGCTTAACCATCTGTTCTTCATTGCTTTCCCGCCACAGTTTAGTGCCAATGTTGACGTGCAACAAAAAATTGGATTATGTACTGCAACAAAAAACGAACATATCATTGGTTAGCCAGTAGCAATCTAGCATCCATGACTCCTAAATCACGTATTCACCAACAAAAGGTTTTACTGTGTGTATGGTGGACTACAGCAGGTATCGTTCACTATGAGTTGCTACCAAGTCGACAAACCATTAGTGTTGAGATATACTCAGCCCAATTAAACAGAATTTTGGTTGCTCTTCACCAAAAACAAGCAGCTTTGGCGAACAGAAAAAGTATTGTATTCCACCAGGACAACGCCAGACAGCACACCGCAAAAATCATGTGGGAAACTCTAACACGCTTACAATGGGAGGATCTACCTCACCCTCCGTATTCACCAGACCTTGCCCCAAGCGACTATCACCTGTTTTTTGGCCCTGGATAATCATATGAGGAACCGACAGTTTCAAAATAGAGAAGGTCTCGAAAATGAGTTAAATCAATTTTTTAGCTCCAAAACTCAAGACTTTTATAAAAATGGAATATACAAGGCTGTTTCACAATGGGAGAAAGTCATTCTTGCTGAAGGAAACTATTTTTCAGAATAAACTTTACTAAAACCGTTTTTTTGTGTATTTATTTATGGACCTGCAAAACCGCACAAACTTTATTGGTTACCTGATCATTCCATGTTTTCTCTGGTAAAAAAACGAGGAATTATTTTATCATAGCAAAAAAAATGGTTTACCTGTGTAAAGAAAGACATTTTTTGTGACCTTTGTAATTTCATTTGATATATTTTTTAGAGCAGTTGAAATGGCATCCTGTAATAAATCTGGAACTAAATAAATAAAATAAAATTGTAGCAACAATATTTAAAAAGTATAATTTTTATTCTTTTTTGTTAAAAAAAAAAAACATACTGTCTTCAATTGCCTCTCCTCCTTTGTTAACTGATTTATTAAATAGCCTAATCCCAGTAACAATAGAAGTTAGTTCAACCAAATGCCTCTCTTTATCTAGCTTCGATAGTTGCAAAAATGAACCTAACTCAGTTTGAGGAAAAACACTTCGAAGAGCAGCTAAATATAAATCACACTTTTTGATATTTGTGTATTGTCTATATACTTAAACTTAAATATAAGTGTGTGCACATACATATTTGTATATTTAAAGTATTTAAAGCATTTAAAGTAGTTTAACAATGAGTACACAACTGTGTTATATAATTTCATCTAATTTAATAAAAAGTAGTCGACACGCAATTTAAACATTTCGCAGTGCAATTGTACTGTTTTTTTAAACGTTGTTGTTGCGATTTAAAGTACGTTTCTTCTCAATTTAAAATGAGTTCTAAAATTACATTTTTTTAATTTCCAAATGCAATTGTATCATTTTTCAAATCTTATAGTCCATTTTGAATCATGTGAATGGGCAGTTTAATCATTAATAACACTGAATCTCTTGTTTTTTATTAGTAAAATAAATTTTTATTTTACCTTTGTCAATTAAAATTAACAAAATAAAAAGCATTAAGATGCACGTGAA